TGACTTGTCCAAAACTCTAGGCAATACAAATTTGGCGTGTGCGTGAAGAGTAGTTCAAATTACTCCACCAATGCCTCTTCAAAGACAAGAAAAGGCTTCGAATATGAATACATGAGATCCGTATATACGTAAAATGGAGGTCCGGATGAAACGAGGTGTATTTGCTAAAAAGAGAATAATGGGCTCACTTGTGAGGACGGATTCTCAACGATTTAGCAGATTTCGTAAGGATTTTAGTGTATCGTTCGTCATCGACCACTGTTTTACCGAAATCGTTTGATCCATAAACGATAAGCTGCTCCTGCTCCTTTTCAAGAATTCCTACAAAGAGAGTTGCATTTCAGGTTAAACACTTCTGTTGATGGTTAATGACATAAAAACGTGTTTCCATTCTTTTAAAACTGGCCGGCAAATTATACGCCTTACCTGGAATGATCGTCTGGGCAGTAACTCGATAGCCACGATAATCGATGAGTGCAGTTCCAAGAGTGCAGAGACCGCTTTGATCCAGTGTTGAGTAGGCTCTGACACCATTCAGATCACAACTCTAAAATGATGTAAATGCAAGAACTAGACTATTTGACACTGCAACCTAACCTCACAATACCCAGAGTCTAGATAATTGGATACCAGAAAAATAGTCAAACTGGTATACAACATTGCAAAAGCCGAATAACATTCGCTAGAATGACAATGTCACACAGAAAGCTTTCGATCCACGTGGCACAGCCTCCACAACGGTGAGATGATGATTCCATTCATGATGTTTGAGCTGGTATAATTCAAGGCTTTCCGTATGCTGGTAATAAAGTCACTCATTTGTTTTACAATGAGCACGGAGGTAATTCAAGTGGTACTGCTAGGAGGATATTTCTGAAAATACTGTTAACGTTAAGATCTGGTACATCCTATGAGAGTACAAAATTACCGTCGCAGAGTAGGCAGCTGCATTACCACCCAGATCCTTGTAGTGATCTTTGACGTCGAAACCGAGTGAGAAGAACATGTTGTTCCAAATAAACATCTGTTGCTTTCGCTTCTCCCCCGGATTAATCGCTACAATTTCCCCGTTGATGACATTAACGGCAGCTCGAGTGCTGGCCGCGACAAAATCGCAGTTTGACTTGAAAACGGCACGATCGCGCATCAGTTGCTCGTTAATATCGTTCTGAGGTAGTTCACGTGTCGCCTGCAGTTCATCATTCCAGTCACGAGTTTGACCTGGCAGATTTTCTTCCCAAGCCATTCTTGATGTTAATGCTGCAAGGGCATTATATGTTCACTCAATAACTTTTGCATATTTGGTGAACTCACAGTCAAAACCCCAAACTCACATTCTTCCTTTCGCACGGAATCCAAGGTATGCTGCCAGTTAGGTGTTAGCCAAGAGTGAACCTGATATGGTGTAGGAAGCCGTTCGAACGGATGCTTATTCGCTCTCCGTTTAAGTAAGGTGTCGTAAGACTTTTTGAAAGCGGGACTCAATTGCTTAAGGAGATCGACAAGTGAATGCACTACATAGATATTTTGCACAGGGGCAGGATTGAAAATCTCGTCGGTTGTTCTAAAAAGAGGAAGCCAGATAAAAGCAGCAGTGAATTAGAGTGCTTTGGGTGAAACCTTGGAACCTACTGATTGACGTAAAAACCTCGTGGACACGCTGTAATGTGGCATCGTTTGCCTTCAAGCGTGTGTACGACCAGGTAAAGCAAATCACCGGCGAGACGACGAGCGGAGGGTGGGGGATTCCAATTGCTATAGTTTAGTTGTTGAAGGCAATCCAGATCACTATCTTCCTTTGAGATGGGATGCAAGGGCATAAGAGGAGGCTCGGAATTTGATCCGGCGGGCATAATATACGAAGGAGGAAGAAAGTTCAAGGAGCTGGGATCGGCACGATTTGGCTTTCGTTCTGTAAATAAGTGACAAGATTATGCGGTAACTCGGATTTCGAAATATCGCATACCTAAAATGTCGCCCAAAGTAACCGAGCTCAAAAAGGACAATGACATCTGTTCTCTGCCAGCGTATGCATCGCGCAATTTAACGCTGTTCAAAATCTCAAGTACGTGCTTCACATGATTACGCACTTCACGAGTGGTATAACGCTCTAAACAGTTGCCAAAAACGTGTTCTGTATTACCTTCTACGACGCGAATTTCAGACCCCTCTTCAAGACCTTCAATCGACTTTAGGTCCGTGAACAAATCAAGAGTTTGATCATTGAAGTGTAGTGAGAAACATGTCCGATGACACGACTCCTCACGCTCCATTAGTGCACGATGTATTTCTTGAACAATTTCCCCTGAAGATACTTGCACTTTGCATGTGTCCGAATTGGGGAATATAACATTAACGTAGTACGATATTCCGTCAATTCCATCTACCGGTGCCAAATTTTCTTTTGAATCATGGTCTGGAGAATGTTCATCCATAGTCGATTGATGTTCAGTGGACATTGTCATAATGAGGAAAAGAGAAACAACAAGGACAGAAGCGAACTAGCAAGCAGAATCACGAAAAACTCACGTGAAAATGCACCGAGTCAAAAGCGTACAACTTGGTGTATTAATTAAAACTCGATTCCACATCTTAAATACAGGGAAGTCGAAAGTAAGTTGTGGACCAGCTCATTAAAGGGCTCTCAGTTGTTGTAATTTAATTAGCTCTTTCTGTAACCCCGACATTTATTGGCCAAAACTAAGACATTAATGGGCGTGTTCCCCAAGGAATTCGTAGTTGGTTACAGCTTAAAAAGAGTATGTAATTAATATTACTCACACCATACATCTTTTTTACTCGCCTACGAAAGGCCTACACGTGATATTATAAAAAATTTAGCTTATAGATTTCCTAATTTCTTTGCATATGTAAGTATATGTTTTCTTTAAGTGTTGCTAATTCTCCGACTGCAAGGCTGATTTTCTAGTGTTTTTCGAAGGAAACGTGATTCATATGCACTAATTTGTAATTTAAACACTTTGACTCAATCCTGCCTTAGTGTTGTCATAGTTACTAATACATTCTGGGTCATTTTATTCCCCGTTCATTTGGAGACGCTGAGCAGATTTGCTCGAAATCTTTGCAATGATGAACAAATCAGATCGTTTTTCATCGGTAATGAGGTACCAAGTAATTGGAATAATTCCTGTAGTTATCCAAATTTACTTCCATTCCCATAGCATAAATACTTCGGTTTTTAAATTTGAGGTATGTAGCTAAGGGTCTTGTTAGTAAAGTTTGTGGTTTCGCTGCAGTCGAACAGTAATGCAAATTTCATTTTGAAAGTGTTGAGCATACTGTTTTTATTTGTACATTTGATAAATCTAACTAATACCGATCTCGCTCCTTGGTGTGAGGTACTCTAATCACTTAAACACCGCTAAATCAACTTTAAAAGGATTTTGCAAAACTATCTCACATAATAGCTTGGATGTTAATTTCTGAAGCAAACTTCTTCGGGAATCATAATGCTGAAAATCAAGGACTTCGTGCATTGATTATTTTTCGTGACGTTTTGCACACTGTATTGGTATAAACGTCTTCTCTTTGGGTACATCTCATTTACCCCCACTTAATTGTTGAAGCTTTTCGGCGCCAAAATCTACATCAACCAAGGCGGATTTTAATGAGTCTACGAGGAGAAAATGCATCGATGATCTGATTGATGCGGCTTATGTCAGGAATGACTATAGGTAAAGAAGACACTTTGTAAAAAGGCGATTTGATAAACTGCTTTAGCTATTTGCTTACACCACTTCTCTTTCACTAAATAGCGTTGTAAGCAGAACTTCGCGAAATTCACTGGAAGCTCGTTTACAATTCTCACCTCACCCTTGATTCTATTCTAACATGTGACGTCTCTGCTTTTTCTTTTTTTGACTCTCACATCAATAGGGATAGGCAAAGTTCCATTTTATAAAGGTGTGTGTCCTATAATTGTCATCTTTTCTATCGGCATAGCCATAGCGGTCCCACCTAAAGGCCATTGTTGAAAGACAATTTGTTAGGATTTCCCTGTGTTCAGTATTTCACTAGTCATGTCCTTGAGTATTTTACATTCTCCCTTCTAGTTTCTGCGTGAACTTCCCAATTGCTGTGCGCAGTTTTGTTGCGTCCATCATTCAGTCTTCCCTGAGTCGCATCTACGACAACGAAATCGGAGTTCTTTCGGATGAGCCGAAGGGGTAAGAAGTTCTACTCTTTCAAGATTTATTCATGATATTCCTTATTCAGCTATTATCAGATGATCTCTCTCTCTCTCTCTCTCTCTCTTTTTGTTCGTTTGTATGATTTTCAATGATAAGGCAGGTCGACTATTCAAAAAATTCTCTCATTCAATCCGAATATGATGCCTACAATCTTATTGACACATCGCTGGAGAAGATGCTTACCCCCTCAAAACAACTAGATGAAAATGTATGGATTTCAAAAGCAAAACTCCAAGAAACTCCTTGTGTTCCGCCAAACATTGATTGGCCAACTAACGAAGAATTCACTCCTGAACTTGGTGCTGAAAAGATAAAGCTCTATATGAAGGTGATTTTAAGAGTAAATAGATGCATTTGTAAGGAATACAGCCATACTTTTTAAACGAAATGACTATCCAAAGACGGCATTCTTAATTGTATGAAACAGTTGAAATCGTGTAGTTGCGATTTCTTTTAAGATTGTCAACAAATATGCTTTCTGCCTGATGGGATCATTAGCCTTAAATTAACTTTTTTATAGAGTTGGGATCTGACTTGTGGATGGGTGTACGCAATAAAAATGCTTCCACCAAAAGAAAAACGATTTTGGACTGAGTATTACTATGAAGCGCGCTTCAGTATTCCAACTCGCCGCCAACCGATTCCGAAGTACACAGTCTCGGTGTTTTTTACCCTCCGCAGAGCTCGCTGCAAACCAAGAGTGAGCTTCTTTCTCACACACTTTTGTTCCCACTTAAGCTGCTCTACTCCTACAATTTTACCAAATTTTTAACGTGTTGTGTATTTCAGACCTTGAAATACTGTCGCAAACATAAGAAACCGTTTTCTCACATTTTAATGTTAGATCAAGTACTAATTTTTTTGGGCAACCAAGCGCTCGTATACGCACGGTAGTAACTGTTGTAAAATTTCTTAGTTTCATACGCATTAACTCTAATATCCCCATCATTACGGTTTTATTTTGCATATTGGCTGATGGAGTGTACGCTGCACTATTTCTCGTGTTTGTTAAATCCCACTTTAAATTTCAGAAAACCCCAATTGACGTGTGTTATGTTGTTGAATCCTTAAGCCAAAAGAACAGGTATGTAAATTTTGTTACAAGATTTTACCAAACATTGCTAATAGTTGCAGCTAACAATGAATACACAAAACCAAAGTAATTTGGACGATAGAAAAAGCTAAAGTTAGATCGGAACGACTAAAGCTCTATGCGTACTAACCGAGTGGTATAATTCACTGATGCAGGAGCCCAAATGTGGTACAGCCGGATTCTATTTTAGGTACTCTTATAGATGGGAAAGCTAGATGCTTGTGCTTGACCTCGATTCACTTAGTTTAAAAATAAATAGCCAACTGTACGTCTTATATGTGGCTCCACCACGCTGTTACACCCTCCAGGAACTTAAAATCTAGGATTCAGGTATGAATTGTCACTAAAAGCATCCAAAATTTTAGGCCAGGAGAACACGCTTTTAATGAGGAATGGTTGAAGATGGTTCTGGAATACAAGGCAAAGCTAGGCGAACGACTTCGCTTTTAAGTGGTTAAAGAGGGAGCAAACACCCAAATAAACATGCTACTGAAACAAATCCTAGTTTTCATTGATATTAATTCCGAGAATTATGCTTACATAATTTACAGGGTAACTGTGTTCCCTTAATTAAGTCTAGTGGTATGAGTAGGTAGGTGCCACATTGCTAGACTCACTAAAGACGCTCAGTTCCCCTGCAAGGCATCCATTAGTAAAGAATTGAGCATGGTTAGAGGCCGTAGACAGAATAGTTAAATGTCATTATGAACCCTGCTTAATGTTGAAGGCCTGTGGGATGTAGAAGAGCTCTGAGTGTAGCGCCCCGAGACTCCCTTAAGACGAAAGAAGACACAATACTCGGGCAGAATATATATATTCAGCACGGAGAAGGTGTCTGGGCTATTGGCATGGCCCAAAAGGCCAGCCCCAGCCAGCGAGGTACGAGGGGGCTAATTCGAAGTACAAAAGTGGCGCCTCACCAATAATGGGGATAAACCACCATCGTATTACATGAGAGACTGTATACAAAGGTTCTGTGGTCACAGTCGACTACACTAACATGAATGATTAACTGTCATTTAGAGGGCTAATCTGGCAAATTTGAAATAAACGCAATATTTAGAAATCCATTTTATATTTTGTATATTTGTACCACTTCCTATGTCATATTTTGGTACATTCCAGTTGTATGCTGCATTAAGTATTAATTTCTATCATTTAAATATGATAAAAGGAGAAAAGTATTTTGTTTTATGACTGAAATAAGCATGCTCAATTAATGTTTGTTTGTATAGCCGGATTGGCCAGAGGCTAATTGAAAGGTGCCGGCGCCGGATTTTCTTTACACGTCACGGTACAGTATGTTATCATTAAGAAAAGACAAAACCGAAGAGGATGATGGTAAATACTGGGCCTTTTTTGGCGATAAATTTATTGTTGTGGTGGGCATGCCTTAATTATTTGGGAACTTTGGTCCTGTAATTTATTATGCGTTGAAAAACGTTAGTAACCGAGGTAGAAATTTACTAACTGCCAGCAGATCTCAGTATTTTGGTTTCTCATGTGGTGTTCCATTTGCGTTTCACAAGGTATATTGGGTGGGGCTTATAAAGAAACAGGTTTTGCGTAGGCAACCTGCCCCATCTTCATACCCGCTAATAATCATTTTAGAGACAAACTATTTTTATCAACTTCGTTTTATTGATATGCATCACTTTTAGGAATCGGATCAACCTATATGAATGTTGATAAGTCAGCTGTCCTGCAAGATGTACGAACAGCGTTATGTAACATTTACTTTTCAGGCTCGCCTTTTCAATGCAAATCAACCGAATCCACGAAAGTGTATTCAGATTCTAACCCGAATTTTGTGCTTACTGAACAAGGTAATCTTAGGTATTGTCGTAAATGTCATACATTAGGGTGTCAAATTCAGCAGGCAAGAAGCTACGACAACATTTTTCGCCGTCACGAAGCTATTCCAGCTTCCAAACGTAGGTCTTCTTTTTACCTGATCCATCGCGCTATTAGCAAGGTCTGCGGAAGCTGCTCTATCTTGTTATAAAGGAGTTGGCACCATATGCCGACGATGTCATTATCCTAACCAGCAGCTTGACTAAGGACATGACTGGTTCAGAGGCCTCTTTTCGTGCTCCTGCAATTAGAACTCTCTGCAAAATCACTGACGTAATTTTGTCTCCATTTTCTGTAATGTTGTTCTCATCTCTCCACTTAAAATCACGTTTTCTGTTCTGCAGCCGACCATGGTTCAGGCCATTGAGCGATACTTGAAGCAAGCTGTTGTGGATAAGTCACCAGCCATTGCGTCTGCTGTGCTTGCGTCAGCCTACCACCTGATGCAGACTTGCCCTGAAGTTGTACGGCGATGGAGCAATGAGATCCAAGGTGTTATCTCGGGTCCTAATATTATGGTTCAATATCACGCTCTCGGTCTGCTCTATCTCATTCGTCAAAATGATCGGCTCGCTACGTTGAAACTCATTCAGAAGTTCTTGCAATCACCACTGAGATCGTCGTATGCTCACTGTGTCATGGTTTGTTAACCTTACCTCAATTAATAGTTTTTTTGTCTAGATTCGTATTGTCGCACGGCAAATTGAGGAGGAGGGTCTTGCGTAAGTGAATATTCGTATTTACCGAAGAAGCAAAATCCTTTTTTTTTAATCAGCGACTTTAAACGTGATCTGTTAGGGACAACCGCAACATGATGGACTTTCTTGAGACCTCTCTGCGTCATAAATCTGAGATGGTTATTTACGAGGCGGCCCGAGCCATCATTGGGTTGAGCCAACTGACAGCCAAGGAGTTGGCACCGGCAGTGAACGTGCTTCAGCTCTTCTGCTCCTCACACAAATCTTCACTTCGGTACGCAGCTGTCAGAACTCTGAATAAAATCGCCACTCGCCATCCCTCGGCTGTGGCTTTCTGCAATCATGATCTGGAGAACCTTGTTTCTGATCCGAATCGCAGTATTGCTACTCTGGCTATCACCACTCTCCTTAAAGTAAGTGCTCTGGACTGGAGTTCGATAGTTTGCATTAGTAGTAAATTGGGCAAGTTAGTGGACGTATTGTCCTAGTGTCTTACCACAGTGGTCCTTTTAGACTGGCAGCGAGAACAATGTGGACCGCTTGCTGAAACACATATGCTCTTTTATGACGGACATTACGGACGAGTTCAAAGTGGTAGTTCTCGAATCGATTCGCATGCTAGCTGCCAAGTATCCACGGAAGTACTCTGTCCTTCTCAATTTCCTTTCTGGTCTTTTGCGTGATCCTGCCGGTTACGAATTCAAAAAGGCTGTTGTGGTTGCCATGGAATCTATAATCAAGGACAACCCTCAGGCCAAAAATCTCGGTGGGCTACCTAGTTCTTTTACTTGTGGTTTCTTCTGATTACGCTGTATTTTCTACTTTATATGTGTAAGTACGCATTCTACTTATTCAGGTCTTCTCCAGTTGTGCGAGTTCATTGAGGACTGCCAGCACGAAAAATTGACTCAACGAGCTCTTTATTTGCTGGGTCGTGAGGGCCCGTTCTTGAATCGTCCCCGTCAGTTCATCCGCTTCATCTACAATCGCATCATTCTTGAGTCTGCCGCCGTCAAGTGCACCGCCACAACCGCTTTGGCACGTTTCGGAGCTAACTGCGACGACCTTCTTCCCAGTGTTCTCGTCCTTCTAGAACGGTAACTTAATGCCACCTCCACTGTTAGACCGAGTGCGTAGTGTTTTTGACGGATTTCGAAGAAGTGCTTGCCACTATTAGGTGTATAATCGAGTTTCCACTATTCTTTATTTACGTACATTTATTACTCAACATGCTTAGAAAAGTCTTTCACTTTGTTCTCATCAGCTTTGATAAAAATAACATTGATTTTGGGCAAACTCTTCTATTTTGAGGCATCAGTTTTTCTGTAAAAGTTGTTTATTTGACCCCACCATAACTTGAATGTCCTGCTCCTGATCCTTTACAAATAGGTTGTACTAAGAAAGATTTTTTTATATTTTTGCTTTTAATTTAAAGTGCCGCCTTGACCACCGCTTCTTAATAGTGACATATCCTACCTCAGGATCGATTTTCGGAGTAACTGCTGTTCGTCTCTTGAAGACGAGTGAAGTAAGGTCGAAAACCTATGAAGTCTTATCCCTTTAAAGGCACCAAAGCGATGCTATTGCGATCATCTATTGTCGTTTTTACTTTTTGGAAATGCTCTAATGTAAAGACCTAGTCAGAACGGTTTGGTAAAAAATAGGGTTAGATAAGCACAAGAGCTGTGGTTCATCGGAGTTTTTAAATTGCGAAGGTAAATATGAGTGTAATATGGTTTGTTCCTAAGATATTTATTTCACCCTCTTTAATCAGTAGTAACTTGTTTTAGCAGTATCAGCCTATATACTTTCTTTTACTACGTCAGTGTAATGTTAGACGATGACGATGAAGTACGCGACCGGGCTGCCTTCTACCACTATATCCTTTCCTCGGGTGATCGTAACCTCATGAAGGAGTACGTGCTGAACGACGATATTCGGCTAAACATGCAGGCCCTGGAACGCGCCCTTCTAGCCTACACACAGGCCTCGGAGGCGGAGCAAGCGCGTCCTTTTGACTTCACCGCCATTCCCATTGAGGAGCCCCCATCTGAGATCGCCTCCGATTTCGCTACCATAGCGGACAGCTCCACCGTGGGCTTCTTTGAACCCACAATCGGTGCTAGTGCTGCCACCATCCCCGGCACTGCTGCTGGTAATAGTTTGTTCTCTTGAAATCGTGCCTTTTTAAAGTTCCTTTTCCTCCTCTTAAATTGGCTCGTCATTCAGCCATTGCTATTCCTCTGCGTTGTGGTGAATTTTCGGGATTGTCTCAAGTGCAGTGTTTCAACCCAAACTTATTTCATACAATGTTTATCAGATGCAATTTTTCACTGACTATTCTCTAGTACTGACTCTGCGATGCTTATCAGGGCCATTCCGGGGCTATGACGCTTACACGAGTTAGGATACAATATCTTTATTGAGAAAAAACCCACATTATCATTTACTTGACAATTTGCCTCTATTGTATTTTGTATCAAATCTTCAGCCTCTTTAACGCCCTTTTTTGTCAGCAAAGTTAATCTCTCACACTTTCTAGGGTTTTATTGTGCAGAAAATTCAAGATATGATTTGGAGATAAGATGGTACTTTACTCAAAGCTCTTTGGAATGGAGGAGAAGTGACGTTAAGTGCAAGCAAGTCTAGAGGGTCTTGTGCACGAAGAGGAATTCCCTCCTTTTAGATCCCCTTTTTTTGCTCAGGCGTACTTTGTGATCGCGGTAGTTTTCCTAGATTTCTTAAGTGATGCCAAATCAAATTTTGAGTGTGGAATAATCTAATTTCACTGGAATACACTTTTGCCGGAGTATTTTTGAATACATGTGTTCTTTTGTGCAACAGCATTAACGCACCCCACCCTGGTACTGCAATACCTTTGCTTTTTATTTCTAGAATGAACCCTGCGAATTCCTCCAGCTTGATGTTTTAAACGAATCGTGGGTAAATGAACAGGTCTACCATGAATATTACTGAGTCGTACTGCTGCGATTAAAAGTAGGGCTAATAACCTAAGGGAATGAAGCTTTATGTTAACTTATTGTAAAAAACTTCAAATTATCTAATGCTACCGTTAAGTGGTGTAAAGAATTAACTCTTCGGCGTCTTTATTGTAGCATTCGGATTGTTTCTCTAAGCATCCATTTGACAGGCATGTGAGGATAACTTGATTATTTAAAAACATGAAAGGTCTGGAGGTCGTGTGTAATGATTCCTGATTGTGTTATTTTGTTTAATCTGTCTATGGGTATACTTCATTGTTGTCACATGACGCCAGGAGAGAAATTTCACTGATTTTTAAAAGCGCTTTGAGAAAACAACATTAAAGCAAGATTTGAGGGTAGAAGTGAAGTTTGGTTCAGGTGCGCTGCGGGTTGGCGAAGCAAGTTACTTGGGCGAATAAAACGGATGCCATTTTGGTTACATTGCTTGCTCCATAAAGTAGTCTCACTACAACCAAATCGACTAAGGAATTTTGTAGATGAAGTCGGCAACTTTGACGCCTATTCTCTCCCTTTCCCCCCGTTCCTCTGCAAAGGTGACAGCGCAAAGGTCGGTGGAGCAGTGGACGCGGCGCCAGGGTCTACAGGGGGCATGGGAACGCGACGTCAGGACCGCTTTGCAGAGGAGTTGGGAGCCGTTCCCGAGATAAAGGCTCTTGGGCCCCTTTTCAAGTCCTCCAATGACTATGAACTCACCGACTCTGGTACGGAATACGTCGTCACGTGCGTAATTCATACCTTCCTTCACCACATCGTCCTCCAGGTAAGTCGTTAATTCTCTCAAACGCGCTCGATTGCTCCTAAGTTCTCTTTCAAACGTGTCCGAAAACCAGATTAGTATTTTTCTGATCTTAGTTACCTAGGCTAATTTCTAGCTTGATTGCATTCTTCATCAAATTCCTAAACAAGCATTCGATGGTTTTGGATGTTCTCATGAGTCGTGGGTTGTCAGTTTAAGGTAGATGATCTTTTATGAGTTTGTAACACTTCTCATTTCATCTCATTTCTACCAGTGCTTTCGTCAATTTCCCAATAATCTTCTCACCACTTTTAAACGATGTTTCAAGGTGGTGCTTTACTTTGATTAAGAGTTAGTGTATTATCTCAATAGCATCAGTTTGTTAAAGCACTATTTTGTTTACTTTTGACTATCATTACTAAGTAGTGTTCGATTCCTCTATGTAGTTTTGTTCAAGCTTTTTCATTGGTTAGAATTTGTATTATTCCACAGGTATCGCTACACTCTATTATTAAGAATGATTGTAGTGCTTTAATAGTAGGATTTATTCTATCCGCTTTGTCTTGCCGAATATCTTGTCCATTCATCCATGCGCTACCACTACTTGTTCTACGCTCGTAGCGGTGTCCTGAAGTAAATTCATTTCAACATTACACCATTTACATTTGAGAACTATATGAGAAGGAGGCTCAAAGAGTTTGAATACTTCAGTTTAACAACCTTCTTCATTATTATTATGTTTAGCGCTTTACCAATTTAGAAATTGAAATTTTTCACACATAAATTAGTAGGTTATTTTGTTTGATGCGATATCTGGACCTGCTAATAAAGATTTTATCACGCATTTCAATTTTCAACGAAAAACAACAACGCTCTCCCAAAAGTCAGATCATTGCTGGTTCTTTGACGTGTTCTTGCTGACAGGTGTGAGGAAATTGTTTTGGCTAAATCGGTTCGCCCTCTTCTTTCCCCAGTACGACGTGACGAACACGATGGAGGACCAGTTGCTGGAGGACGTCTATGTGGATGTGGAAGTGGCAGACGATGAATTTGAGGTACTTAATCGTCTACCCATCAAAACTCTACCCTTCAACTCTCCCGCCTCGACATACATCATCGTTAAGTTACCTGAAAATGCCTCTCTTACTACCTCCTTCGCCAACACTCTACGATTCGTCGTTAAGGACGTCAACACTGCTGGACCCAATGATCCCGGTATCACCGATGAGTATGCGGTGAGGTTTTTAAGTCTATTGGAGCTCCTTTTACCTATCATCACTGGTAGCAGGGAAAAGGAAATAGTTACGCTTATGCTATGTGGAGCGGTGATTTTGTTCGTTTTATTTTGATGCAAGTGGGACTATTAACACGTTTGATCGTAACTTTACTCATTTAAGCATTGATACCACATACCCACGTCTGCAATTGATGTATATATCGGTGACTTAGTCCCATTATTTTTGTCCAAGTATATATCTTGGAATTTATTTATTGGAAATGATGACGGTACTAACTGTAAACTCGTTACTTTTTTCGTGTTAGTTTTAATCTCTTTGAATTTATGTAAAATTATCACAAATAACCACCCAAAATGTGTAAGTTGTTGCTGGTGGGTGATGTTCGTCTTCCCTTAATATTATCGGCATCAATGTTTTTCTAGGTGTACGACTAAGTTTTTACTTCAAACCCTTATTCGTCTGTGCCATATTCAAAGTCATGCGTAAGGCTATTAAGCGATGTGGCCATATGATGCTCTAAGGCCAGCTGTTGCCTGATATTCGAGGTCAATTCTGGTGCAGTTCTACTACGAGAAATAGCGGTGGAAATTATTTAACGATTGGGAAACGTATTTGGGACTTTTAATTGGACGAAAACAGACTCTGTGGTGATGACAAAAGTAATTTTATCAGCTCTGGCGCAGATGAATAACGCTGGCCACATAGAGTATAGGTCATGAGCTATTACTGGTCAAAAGTACTATCAACCTCAAGTAGTAAGATTTAAAAACGATGCCTTAGAACAAATGGTAAAACTTCCCCTTAAACAGCCATGACCAATCAGAACATTTCTAAGGGCTTGAGCAAGGTAGGAAGGGTTAAGGCTTTTTGGGTCCCGCCTAGTCATGTCAGCTGGAGGAGAGACGTAAGGTTTATCTGAGGGTAAAAGTCGCAGCTATGAGCGTTCGCTTCTGTCTATGGGGAGCTTTGCACTAAATTTTAGCTGGAGGAATTGACCCTGCCCGTGGCAGTCCACATGCAACGCGTGATGAAGGCGAATTTCGCCGCGGCTTGGGAGGAGTACGGTGACAATGGCGAGGCGGAGGAGACCTACTTCCTCACTAAATTCTCCACCCTTGATGGTATTCTCCTTTGCTTATTTTTTTCGTGCTCATTGTCCTTCATCATGTGTTCCTCATCTCCTATTAGGTGATTTGTGCTAGCATTCAATGCAGATGAGATCCTTCCCACTTTTGATCCGAAAAATTCTAGTATCCAAGTTGTTTGCATTTTGATTAATTTTATGCTTTCGGCAATATTAGGTTATTATTGGTAGTTTCGGTGAATTCACTCCTTTCTGCGTTTAATAGAACAATTTTTCCGCATTCTGATTGGATACTTGGTCCAAAGCAGACTACTAATTGTCAGATATTTTGGAATTTTTAACTTATTTAGAATTGGTATGACTTTTCCCACTCTTCTAATCCTAACCTCTGCTTCCTGATAATGCTCTTTTCTGTCGGCAAATACACTCCCCTTACAGAAACCCTTCCTTTGTTTTAAAGTGGCCCTTGATAATTCATTTACCATCATGGATCTGAAATGAATGCATTTAGTATATCTTTTCGAAAATGATCATCCCTAAAACGATATTGCAGACATATCTTTTGCCATGATCGGTAAGTTCCCTCTTGTGTTTGCGAACACATTGCCTCTCCTCCCACTTAACTTCTCAAGTACAAACAATAGATGGGCGAAGTTGAAAGTATGTCAATGTAGTCATGTGTGAGTTCCACTTGAAGCACCAACACATTTATTTTACTGGCCTCTCTCTATCCTTTTTCTTTTCGGTGTTGCAAAATGAGGCGAAAGTGTTATTTACCATTCCCGCGATTATTGGTGACAGTGAATGATCGCTACGCACTGAGGATTTTAAATCCTATGCTCTATTTTTTCGTCTTATTTAGCCTACTGGACATTGTTGTGGTCTTGAATGACTATTTGTGTCTCTAGCCAACAAAGTAGTACTAACGGTGGGGTAAATCCCGAACTGGGTTAAACTCTTTCTCCCTCTCCGGGGGCCTGGATGCCAGATTACTACGTTTTCCCCACGTGCGACATTTTGATGACTGGTGAATACGATTCAATGGTTTCTTGTTGCTGTTTTGCAGAGATGGTGCAAGAGTTGGTGGCGCATCTGGGTATGCAGGCGTGCGAGCGCACAGACCAGGTGGGCTCAAGCGAGAAGGCGGCACACACCCTTCTATTGGCCGGTGTCTTCCGCGGCGGTGTTAGCGTGCTCGCACGTTGCAAACTGGCCAAGTCACTGCCCTCCGCTGGGCAGCCTGCAGCCGGTATTAATCTCCAAATCACTGTCCGCTCCGCTGCTCCCGAAATTAACCAGGCCATTGCCGACTCCCTTAGTTAGACTTCCGTTCCCACTTCCATAACGCCTACTTCTACACCTTTACGTTGGCTGTTTTTTTGCTTCTGAAGGAAATCACTTCTTTATACACAAAAACTTCTTTCAACACTCCTGAGTTTGGCTTTCATTGCTAAAGGAAAGAAGATTTTGTTCAGTTTGAGCCATCAGATTATTTGTTTCCAAATTTCCCAATTACAGATCTTACTTTTTCTTATTCAGTGCTGTGGGCATCCGACTGTTTGATGGGTGTTTCAGTCCACTATTTGCATGAGGCTGATTGATTTTCAGTGACAAGAGGAACTTTCAGGTGGGTTAACTTACTTTCTTTGTCTCTATTGCGCTTCCGGATTTTGACTGAGATGGCGATGTGTCTTCGCATTGCTTTCCGAGCCATTACATTGTTTATGGTTATCGTCCTAACTGTCTTAGTAGGACAAACCTTTTAAGAAGCCCACATATCATAGGTTGACGAGTGGGCCTCGTAAATTGAGTGTATCTGGTGCATCTTTTTTTAAATCGAGTAGATTTAGGAGCGAATATTGTTCGTCATTATGAGTGTGTTTGAAATTGCTGCATCTGATAGCCTAAATTTTGGAAGATTGATGGTTTGTGCAACCATCACTACTATCAAACTATCATTGGTGTGACACGGCACTGCGTCAGCAGCCGGACATATTCAAATGTGCTCTCTTACGGTTCACAGGTGAGTCAATGGATGCAGATTCGAATGTGGTGGGTAGTTGACAATTTGAGCAGTATAATGCATTTTAAAGGAAGACGGAAGCTTTGTTTGTAATGGTTGGTTCTCATAGGTCTGCCCAATCGACTATGTAACGTACAAACTCAATTACAGGTCGTCTTTGTTTTATTGATATGCCAGCATCCCACTAATATTAGAGTGGGAATTTTCACATCACTGCTGGGCTCTTTTGTGCCTCCCAAGTAAATCGATAAGAGTGTATTTAAATTTCCTGAAGGGTAAATTTTACGCGAAGGCTGGAGTTAGTAGGTTTCCATGCTGTCAGTAGAGAATTTCAACCGTAGATACAAGACACGGAAACCTCGCAAATATGTTGCCACCACTTCAAACATCCCAGAATGCGATAAAATGCCTGTTGACCTTGATAGACTCAGTGAAAAAGCCAACATCCTCCTAGCTTTTTTTCCACCTCCAGTGACTAAACAGTGCAAACTTCTCCGTACTGTTAACGATGACACGGTAAGGGTAGTAGCACACATGCATCAACGTGCTGATGAGTGCGAAATTCTGGCATCCCGCTGCAAAAAGCTGCCAGATAAAGAGGGCTTAGGGAGTCAAGAAGGGCGTAGAACAAGAAGCAAATACCTACATACCTTCCCAGATTATCTGGACCGCAGCGTACTGGAAGATCTTATCAGCGAGATGGAACATGCCTCTCTTACTGACTCCGAACTCTCGAACGCAACGGAGTTATTCGCTGACATGACAAAAATAGCCAGTCCCGAAAATACCAGTTTAGTGAGGTCTTCAGATCACAGCATGAGGACCCGTGTAAATCGCTACAAAAAGTTCAGCCAACGGAAAGTGGCTCCAACACTGACAAAAGTTTTTTCACCAATCTCTCCATTACCATTAAAGGGAGGAGTGCTGTCCAAAAGGCTCCTCAACTGGGGTACTGATATGGAGACTTATACAAACCTACCTCGAGGTGCCATGTATGCAAATCTGCCTTTTGGAATAGTTGCGGAAAATTTTGAGGTCAAATCAATGCTTACTCCCCATATCCTACCCGATTCCATACGCGAGATTGATGCTGTTAGGAATGCTGACATCCGTTTCGGCCTGCCACAGCATTTACCCGATCTACGCGGAATGAATGTATTGGAGTACATTATGCGGTATTGTGTGGTTCAATCCCGACTGAGCACATTACTGAAAGGCCGTTACCAATTCGTCCAGGCTTGGCAGAAAACCGTGCCACTTGAGCTATTACGAGAGCACGTGGACAAGGCCCTCCTTCAAATGTTGCCCGGAGAAGAAATTGAGGAGTTTTTGAAGTACTTTGAGTTTGAATCCGGCTTTGCAATGAATGAGGAAGTCTACGTGAAAGCACTGGCTCTAAGCATTCGACTCTACGGCCACTATTTGAAAAATTTCCATAGTAGCTTTTGGATGTATCATCTGAGCCCTCTGGAGTGCATTGACTTTAGGCATCTCTCCAGACGATTGGTGGACATCAAATTAAACCCACATCTGGAAAAACTGCTTCTACGTCTAGATCGAATTGCAGCAGAGCAATTCCAGTCTTAGAAAAGAGTTTTTGTAAGAACTTTATTTTTAGGCTTATTTTTGCCTCAGTCCATAAGGCTTTTTACACCTATTAGGTAAATACAATGCTTTATTTTAAATGGTGCGTTTTAAAATGCGCATGCTAAATTTGACTTTTGTTTTGTTTTGGAAAGACTTGATTTCCCCCTGTTAGAGAACTTGTGAATAGCTGTTAGAAGAAAAGTTGCATTTTAGGCTAGAAATGTGATGTATTTAGAAAAACCAAAAGATGGGCTGTCAACTTCTGGAAGATAACCATATGTATATGTTATAAATATATTGGTGGCATGCGTAATCTCAAACTACAGTCGTTTACCCACCATCCGAGTTCGAGTGCTTCCCAATTAAATCTTGTTATAGAATCAATTTATATGGCGCTATAGGAACACTGAACGCAACAGTTTTACAGAATGTATAGAAAAATCTAAACTAGTGACGAGCAAATCGGAGTGTAGGACCCATTTTCGCTGCTTCGTATTTCTGAATGGAGCGCCTAGCTCTTTTGAAGAGTCGCTCAACCGAGTTTTCAGTGGATCGGCGAGGGTAAGGCACAACCAGGACGTCCTTCATCTGCGAGGTTATTTGACGCTCAATTTTCTCCAACAATCGCTTGAGTGTGGGATCAACCTTAAGATCAGTTAGCCGCCGCGATAACTGCCAAAAATCCAGGCGTTCCAAAGGTCCAGCCTGAAATTTCCACTTTTCCGCTTCCTCTATTGAAATTTCATCTTCCTCATTGCTTGACCTAACCACTGGGACAAGGAGACGTTCACAGAGTCCTAAGCACTTGCAAAATGTGCTCACTTTAAGCACATAGTCTTCAGGCAGATCTAAGAGGCTAATCAGATCATTCAAACTGTTTTCCGTCTGGGTGGTCGGAATTACCTTTAAAGCTGCCTCTTTCAATGATGATACATTAATAACTGCCTGCTTCATTCGTGAGTACAGCGTCTCATAAATGACCAATCTTTGCTTGGCAATTTCACAGTTTTTTTCTAAATAATCAACTACACTTAGGTCCTCCAAAGAGCGCAAATCACTTGGAACAGAAAAACGAATTTCCGAGTCTGTGATGCTTTTAGCGATGACATGACGCTTTGAAAGCCGACCGTGAATCCACTTTTTCCAGGCGAAAGCAGCCATGCCGATGGTGTCTTCTACATCCATTCGAAAGAGCAGTCGGGCGTTGGTTTTTGGTACATTCTGAAGTGGCAACACCGCACTCAGCCCGCAATCCTTGGCTCGATAACGCACTCTCTCCATCGGCTTCTTGTAAAAGAATTTGCTCATGGTGATTGTGCCTTTGCGCACCATTTCTCGTAATTGCATACTCAAGTTAGAAAGTCCATAGGATTTTTCATCAAATAGTATATTCATGAAACGGGAACGTGGTTTTTTAATAGGTGGCGTTTCAGAACTCTCAGTAAGTAATTTAGGAGAATTTG